GGTGGGATGTTTCCACTTTTCAAAAAGATTGACTCGAGGGGATGTGTCAATTACCTGTATCTTGGAATCCCTCTCCTCAGCATCCGTGTTGAGGTCAATGGAAAGATATTGGATACGATGATACTGGAAAAGAGAGAAGGATCATTTGCGGAAGAATCCATTCAGAGACAGAACAGATTTCGCGAAAAGCGAAGCACCACGGACCAGGCATTCATTCTACCACGTATTCTAAATAAACACAGGGAGGACGCCAGACAGGATTGCATATGATTTGTTAATCTTAAAATGACGTACGACCGTGTTCTTTGAAGGAAGATGTGTGAAATTAAATATGAGTATCGGATTAACGGTTAGTTACGGTAGGCCATTCAATCCTCATCCAATGATTGCAGGAGTTGCGTTTGAGTGAACAGGGTCAATTTGGACTCCTCGGTACGAGAAGAAATCTTTTGGGGTTGCGTTCTTATATTTTCCTGTACCTATTGTACATGGATAGGATCTGTATGAGCTGCCTGAACCTTCAGTGGGTAAATATATATTTGGTATGAAGGTAAAAATATTCCTATTTTACAATGATGCCGCCCATCTGACGCAGTCACTACAGGCACAGCTGAGCGTGCTAAACCTGTTTTGCTCGGAATGTGGCCACCAGCGCGAAAAGTAGCCCGCTATGGATTAGCCAGGGTCTCATGTGTTAAACCCGCAAATTCCATTTCTATTACTTACTAACCACACAAACGCGATCGGCAAAAATATGAAGTGCTCCTACATTCTCACCAGGCTACACTTAACTCGTCTGTCTCATTGGGCTTGAGACAGGCTACCCTGATCAATTAGAGGCTTGAGAGGCTTGTCTACTGGGAATTGAGAAGTTTCCCCCTGATTTCAAAATATATCATGGGGATCAGCGAATGAGACTTTCCCTTCGGCACGTCGCTTTTAACTTACTTTCATGTGAGGGAAAAAGATAGAGAAGCAGAAAGAGAGATGCAGCGCTAGGTGAATGTTGGACTTCCTTTTACGTGGAAATATTCCAAGATTTTAGGTATTTACACATTAGTGGAGGAGGAGGCTGAATCTCATTACGCATCTAGGAGCAATGAACTTGATGGAAAAAAGCAATAGAACATTTCCAAACTGTCACTTTAAATTTTAAAAAAGTAATTCGAAATCCCGAAGATGCAAAGCCTCCTTCTTCCCCTTTAGATAGGATGCCAGCATTCTGCTTTTAGCCCCCGCGGAAAAATTAAGATTAAATGACCCGACCTACTGAAGAAAACCAGAAATGTTCTGTATGGAAATGTTGAAACCGGTCCTGAATATCCCACGACTCTCCTTGCCCCGTTCCTATTTCGCTATTCCAACTGATGCTACCTCGAGGTGAACTCCGATAATACGTTTCTTTCTATCTTGTTGCCTTTTTATTTCTATTATTTCTTATTTCTCACCTTTTCCATTTCTACTTTATATCCTTTCAAATAGGTCACCCCCGCCACCATTTGCCAGTACGTTTTATTCCCATCTCCCATCTCTAAACAGGAGCCTGTGACCTTTTCGTCTAGGGTGAACGTGGACACTTGCTACAGAAGTGAAAGAGAATCAAACTCAGCATCACTAAAATTAAGCTGTGTGTCTGAGGTATTTCTATGCGGTCTTGTCACATGCTCGATAGCTAACACTGCTGTTTTCCGAGTGCCAACATCCATGGTATACGATGGTTTCCATCTGCTTTGATGTAGGATACAAGGTTCAAGGAATGGATCTGTGATACAATGAAACAAACAGCCCCATCTTTTCTGCACTATTTTGCACGATTATGATTTTTTTACGAATTAACTATGACATCTGGCAATATTAGGAGAGATGCCGTGCAGCTCATTAATGAATTCAAAATGCATATAATACAAACAAACTCTGAATATCCTACGCTGACACAATATATAAACGTCACGAATGTATCATATTTCATTGGAATTCTCTCCCTGCTCTTCCTCGGAAAAAGAGGACTAAATTCAAAATTGGCGTGTTTCCCCAGACAGACGGTGAGAACAGGACGAGATTCGGCGGCACAGGTGCACTCATCAACGATAGGTACGTCCTGATTGTCGCCTATTGCGTTAACCCTGTCGATCTGGATTCCTATCGACAGTTTCGTGCCACTGGGAGAGAGAGTCCAGGGCTCGGACAGACATTGCACAATCGAGCGCAGACCTCCGTGCTTCAATCAGTATGACTTCCGGGTCGAGAACCATCAAGTTCATCCAAGATTCATGCATGGGGATGCCTCTTGCTACATATAGCTCATATCCGGCTCGAAGAAGCAGCGACGCTCAGCTGTTGAACTTGGATATTATCAGTATCGTTAGATGAAGACTCATTATTTTTTAACCTTTTATTCCAGTGAACATCAATGCGGTGCCTGCCTTTTGATAAACCTTTCGAGAAATCCGTGGTCCTCATACGTCGCCCTCTGTTCTTGAAGTCAATCTACGTATTTCCTACGTTCGTTATTCGATTAGTAAGGGTTTGAAATACTGTATAACTTTTCCCGAACCGAACTCTTAAGGCCATCGCACTTTTAGCGTGTGATGCGTGCGATTTCGACACGCATCCACATGCGTTCGAACGCAAGGGAACACGCATGTACATCTACGCCCACACGCCTTCACAAGTATAAAGGAATCGCAATCACTCTGTTTTGAATAGTTTTCTTTTATTAAACAGAATACATATATTTTAATGTAATTTATTGGACTGCCCTCATTAACTGGCATTAAACTTAGGATTTCTCTTTTTAACAATTTTGTCCCTACGTTTGCGGAATGACTCAAATGCGTGAGGGCATGCTATGTACATGCCTGTTCCCTTGCGTTCGAACGAATGTAGACGCATGCAGACACGCAAGCCACATGTGTGCCAAAATTGCACGCATCACACGCTAAGTGTGCGATGACCTTTACGCTCTCACACTCCCACCTGTGTCTACATTTAAATGGCAGTGGATTTTCAAGGATATTATCATGCATTTTAGGTTAACTCCAATCATGACAACCTTTCCCACTTTTATTCTCTGCTCCAGCAAGGCCATCCCCACAAAGAGGGAAAATATACTTTTTCATCACAGAGTGGCAAAACCTTTAACATCATTTCACCCACGACCTGCTCTACTTCCAACGTATTACATGCAACATTGTAACACTCCCTACTACATAAAACGTGAGCAAGATAAGACTCAGTATGTTGGTGAAACTGGCAGACTTTTCTGACCGATGTATTATGAATATACGATATGCAAAACTGAATTATAAAGGACCAAATAAATGTATCCAGGACACCAGCGTTCTGACTTTTACATCGTCCTTATTCATAAAATTCAGATGAAATGATCCGACCATCCAACCGAAGGAAACCATTTGAATGCAAATGAAACTAGTCCTGAATTCCTAGCGGCTCTCCTTACCCCTACCATTTCCCCTTCTTTTTCCCCCTTTCTTTTAAATCTTTTTCCTCTGGTACTACACTGTAAAAAATAATGGTTCAGACTGGAACTCTTCAATGGTTCTACACCCTTAAAAAGGTTCCAGGTACTGTAGAACCATATGAATTGGTTCCAGCACAGATGTAAAACCATATGAAACTCCATCGCTTTTGTGGTACCTCTGGAACTGTCCATTGGTTGTAAGTACAACCATTTCTTGCGCTTTTTCAAAATGGTTCGAAAAAGGATCCCTTCAGGGCTAGATACGTAGACATTTTTTTCGCCATTCCCTCGGACCCCCCCCCCCCCCCCTCCTCCTCCTCCTCACTCCCTTTCTTTCTTAAAATAGGTTTTACCAATCGGCGGCAGATGACGCCTAAGCGCCGACTAAGCGATTCTCACCCTACTGCCATAGGAATGAATCCCCTGTATTTTTCAACACAGTACCCGATCTTTTCCCATGAACAACTTAAGGGAAGGCTTTGGAATTCCTAGAAATACTCGTTCAAGGAGGTAACCCGGTAGAAGGAGACTCCAAATACTACTGGCCAAGGTGTCTGAAGAGACATGCTCTATTTTCCTAAGTCTCTACATGGCCTTTATAAGGAATCAAGTTCTTGTATCTCATTCGAGAAAGATGGAGCGTGAAAACTGACTGCGGGGATATGTCTGGCTCCTCTTCTAGAATGAAATCAATATGGGGATGTTGCTAGATGTGTAATTCCTTTGCTGGACAGGAAGGGTTGTGTACTCAACTCTAATTCTGATCTCGTGAAAGAAATACAACCTCAGCGGGACCCCTCCGGGACATTAGTACTCAATAGAGTACTCTTAGATCCCCGAGATCCTTCCTTTGTCCTATGGAAGGGACCCTCAGCGGGATGACAGTACTTAATAGAGTACCCAGGTATAGAGTTCAGACCCAAGAAGTGGAGGAGGTACTGTAATGCCCAAACGTTGAGAAATGAACATTTGCTCAAAGTTGACATAACATTGTTTTGCCGAATAGTGATGGTTCTGTGTGGAATCATGTTATGAATGAAACGGTTGTTAGTGACACCTTTTGTAAAGGTGCTACATATAACCTTCATCGGTGGTTTTCTATGGAACCAGTAAATGGTTCCAAGAAAGTTTCACTGTAGAACTAGTAAAGAGTTACAGGGAGAACCATTATTTTTTAGTGTATGTTGAGGTGATCTCTGTTCGTGCTTTTCTTTTCATCCTTTTACCTTTTCACTTCATCGAATGTTTTTCACTTCTACTTCAAAAATTCATAACATTTATTATCAATTTCCTAGAACGATTTCATCCTTCTAGAACTCATTCCACCAACAAAATCCTCGGGTCTGAGGGGCAAGTCACCCTTCTCGTTCCAGTTTCCCAAACATGGCAGAGCTTTTTCTTGGTGGTCATAGTATTATTCTATGGGAGGTACAGTAGAACAAGACCTAAAGGAACAGGGTATGGTAACCTCGACTTTCCTTCTCGCTTTTGGCCATCATGTTCCTCGCACTTGAAGAAGATGATGGCGAGGAACGCAAACACGTACAATGCCACCATCTCCATCTTACAATGCGATCTGATCGTGCGTTTCAAGAATCTCATTCTGTGAGTTCCCAGTTTAAAATCCCAGCTGGAATATTCCAGCTGGACCAAAGCTGTAAATTCGGACCATTTCCAGCTGCCAAAGAGCTGGAAAACAGTAGGTACCAGTTGTTTCTTAGCTGGAATTTTCCAACTGGAATGCAGATGGTTTTAATAGCTGTTTCCAGCTGGAAATTTTTCAGTTGGAATTTTATAAAAGGAACCCTACAGCGGGAATGTAGCTAAATTTACAGTTTAAAATCAGCTGTTCCTGTTGATGGACCTCCGACAAAAATAGTCAAAGAAAAGATTCTCTTTCTCATTCAGTTAGTTATTTTGCAATTAGGAAGAACTCTGGAGTTGACTATTTTCCAGCTGTTACCCAGTTGGAATGGGTCCGAATTTCCAGCTGGAGTCCAGCTGGAAATTATAGCTGTTTCCAGCTGGAATTTTAAACTGGGTTGCAAGCAAAGTAATCTCCGGCAACGAAAAGGAGTCAGTGAGCGCCTGGGGACATGGTTCCCTCTACTACCGCCATATTATCTATATCTTATCCCCGAAGGTCAACCGGATTTCAGTTTCCTTCCTCCATTGTCCTTGTCTCGGGAGTGGGATTCAACTCTGACCGGATGGTGGAATAGATTGGTGGACTTCCTCTCCACGAAGGAGAGCTGATAGGACTCCAAAGGGACCGAGTGGAAAGAGAAGAAAGATTTCGTGGGGGAAAGAAGACTCGATATGGCTTCTCTCTTTGCCAGCTTCACCGTCTTTCTTCTCGTCTGCTTCGTTCATGCAGAACACCTGCGATTCCGTCGACAAGGTAAGATTGCTGAAGAGTCCTTTTCCCTCCTATGATAATGAAGGGTGTTCGAGCTGCATACGTACCTCGGTGATGGCATCACTCGTTGTGGCCTTGGACGCTCAATAGGCGTAGATGCAAAGCTTTCAGCCTCCAGATTTGTATACTCTGAAATCACGAGAGGTGGGTAGCACTCCTCTCAAAGATCTTATCCCTTAGAAATAGTGATTTGTATAGCATTTCTTGACGAGACAAGGAATGGGGTTTACTTGGCGGAGTAGCCGTATTTCTGAGTTCGCATGTCACTTTCTCGGAACTGAGACTATTTAATAATAGATCATCTTAAAGCTTAAATATGAAAGTCGAAAATATTCATGTTAGGTTGGTAGCGTCTCTGATTAGTCAAAGAAAACCTTCGGAAAGATCTTTAACCCTCTTAACACGGCCAGGCCGTAATATCGGACTCGATGCCCGTCCCTAAAGCACGGCTGGGCGACATTTCGGCCCTAAAATGTAAGCAACTTCAGCATTAGCCGCAGAAATCCTTATAAGTCAATCACGACTTGGAATATTTGAATCTTTTGGCAACTATTGTTTTCACTTTTGTTTGTCTAATTACGGCTTCCGTGATATTGACTATACTGTCCAAATTCAGTCCTTGTTAAAAGGGTTAATGAGACACGATAGTGGGACCCTCATGTGTGCATCAATTGAAAAAGTTGGTATGTTCTTCCAGCAGGGAGCTCGTTTCAAAACGCGGGCGCGGAATGCGAGACGCCCGAGCCGAACGTTCGACCAGGAACGTGCACCCATATCAGAGAATGTGATGAGCTCTACTCTCTCCTACGAGGACCGAATCGGAATATCCCATACGTGAGACAGTCCATTTGTTTCATCCCGGCAAGTGGAGGGGATCCCTATGTCTGCTGTCCGGCGGCTAAACCCCCTGAGCCCGTTCCAGTGATCGTAAGTGAAAATTCCTTTTTCAAGGGAGGGAAAGCAAGCAACAGAGCTTGTATGATTGTCTTCAATTTTTATAAGACTGTTTCTTGTAACAAATGAGAGTTTTTGCCGATGTCGCGCAACACAGAATCTAACAGCACTTTCTTGAACACTTTTACTCTCTACTTGTAGTAAGGCTTTTAACAATGCGGCCTGGACGAGATTGGTCAAGTTTAGATGCGGCCCAGGCATCAAAATAATAATAATAAATATAGAGCGATCAATGAATTTTTTTAATTCAAGGAGGTTTTTTTTAACTCTCAGGAAAAGACAGTCGATAAAACAAAGCTGTTCCCAGATCCTCGCAAGTATGAATGCGGGATTGAGATCAATGACAGGATAGTGAACGGGGAAGATGCTCCCCTCGGAGCGTGGCCCTGGATGGCTCTGCTTTTCTATCAAAGTAAGCAGAATCTCGTGCTGGCTTCAATTGGGAGTTTGCCTTGCAGTTCGCTAGGATAACTGTTACGGATGATTCCACATTCCAGCTCCTGGGGGAGGATTGAAGCCAGGCTGTGGTGGAACTGTGATCAACAAAAGATACGTAATCACAGCTGCACATTGTGTCAGTCCTGGAATCATCGGCGAATACAAACTGTGAGCCCTCGTACTTATCCTCGATTCTCAAACTTGCTTTCTCTAACATGACAATATCGTGCTTGCAGCGCATACGCGAGACTGGGAGAGCATAAGTTATCGACAAATCCAGATTGCAAAGGTCTGAAGAAGCAGGTGTGCCAACCGCCAGCAATCGATGCGGAAGTGCAAGAGATCATCTACCATCCCAATTTCATCCAAGACGGCCGAAAGGGCGCTAAGTTTGACATTGCCCTCCTCCGTCTTGCCAAGGACATCGACCTTAAGACTGGTAACACTTCATCTGTCTATGCGTTCAGCTATTCGTTGCATTCGAGTGTTTCTGCAGGCGTCACGATATTGAGATTTTCACCGATTGTCGATATTCGGATCCCAAATGGAACAATGCCGTAACTGCCTCTCAGGTACTTGTATTCGACTCTGCTAGACTAGCTTTCGAATTTCATCTGAAGCAAATTCTTCGAAACTACAAATTTAGTTAAAGTTATTATTTTCTGTAGGACTAATTCTGAGGTCAGATGTCAGAGATTGTTTCATTGTAAAATTCAATATCTCAATACCAGTGCCTGCCAAACATTGTCAGTTTGATATTCTTTTGAAGCCTTCTGATATTATTGTGACATCTTGTTTTCTCTTATTTCTTTTTTTTCAAATCAACAACACTCAAGTTTTCTTTTTGTAGGTAGCATTGCTCCGATCTGTCTGCCGTTTGACAAGGAAATTGTTGCACCGGATGGAGATCTTTCCTTTGATAACAAGACTGGTTGGGTGACAGGGTGGGGGAAGACAAGCGTCAGTGAGTTCTCTTATTCTGTATTTCTTTTTTAACGTTACCTCATACTTTCATATACACTTCATAAAACAAGGAGACTAAGAATTAAAAATGAAGCAGTTTTCGGAATGACATGCAAGTGTCTAATGAAAATGAAAGCCTATTGCTTCCACTTCCTTCTCCAGGAATAATGCTCTTATTTTAAAAATAAATGTATTATATTCTTGCAATGCAAATTCCTAATGATATATTTTAATTATAAATGTGAATAAAAATGCATAAGAAAACCATGACAACTATGTTCATCTCCATATTCAAAGAATTGTTTTAGCTCTATATTGTAATGGTAACCCACACCTAAAAGGAGCATATATCACAAAGTAATTTTTCTTGCAAGTTTGAATCTTTCCTGTATTTCTGTGTTTAATGACTTATCTTATTTAAAATTTTGAAGGGTCGTGTTTCCTTTCCACATGAAATACTTTTCACCTTTAAAAGAATGTTGATATCTGGATACACCATGATCATTTTTATTACAATTGCAGGAATTCTTTCTGTGGAGCGAAGAAATTTCGGGGAGAAGTTCCCCCTTACAAAAAATTGCCCCCCCCCCCCCATGTGATGTTACCCAAAATTAGGATTTTCTTGAAATCAGCACCCCGAGAATTACATTTGTGTCAAATGTCAGCTTTCTACATGGCGCCACATATAAAATGCAACCCGAACTTTGGAAATATGCATGCACTAAATTAGGAGTGGTAGAACCACTGCCATTGTACAAAATTGCTGAGAATAGATAATATGACAATATGACAACACCGCAGCAGTGGTTCGCCGCTAGGTGACAGCACNTTTTTTTTCAAATCAACAACACTCAAGTTTTCTTTTTGTAGGTAGCATTGCTCCGATCTGTCTGCCGTTTGACAAGGAAATTGTTGCACCGGATGGAGATCTTTCCTTTGATAACAAGACTGGTTGGGTGACAGGGTGGGGGAAGACAAGCGTCAGTGAGTTCTCCTATTCTGTATTTCTTTTTTAACGTTACCTCATACTTTCATATACACTTCATAAAACAAGGAGACTAAGAATTAAAAATGAAGCAGTTTTCGGAATGACATGCAAGTGTCTAATGAAAATGAAAGCCTATTGCTTCCACTTCCTTCTCCAGGAATAATGCTCTTATTTTAAAAATAAATGTATTATATTCTTGCAATGCAAATTCCTAATGATATATTTTAATTATAAATGTGAATAAAAATGCATAAGAAAACCATGACAACTATGTTCATCTCCATATTCAAAGAATTGTTTTAGCTCTATATTGTAATGGGTTCCTATTGGTAACCCACACCTAAAAGGAGCATATATCACAAAGTAATTTCTCTTGCAAGTTTGAATCTTTTCTGTATTTCTGTGTTTAATGACTGATCTTATTTAAAATTTTGAAGGGTCGTGTTTCCTTTCCACATGAAATACTGTTCACCTTTAAAAGAATGTTGATATCTGGATACACCATGATCATTTTTATTACAACTGCAGGAATTCTTTCTGTGGAGCGAAGAAATTTCGGGGAGAAGTTCCCCCTTACAAAAAAGTGCCCCCCCCCCCATGTGATGTTACCCAAAATTAGGATTTTCTTGAAATCAGCACCCCGAGAATTACATTTGTGTCAAATGTCAGCTTTCTACATGGCGCCACATATAAAATGCAACCCGAACTTTGGAAATATGCATGCACTAAATTAGGAGTGGTAGAACCACTGCCATTGTACAAAATTGCTGAGAATAGATAATATGACAATATGACAACACCGCAGCAGCAGTTCGCCGCTAGGTGACAGCACTGTAAACACGTTATTTTATGCTATTCAATTCAGTTCTTCAGATTCATTTTACAGTTGATATATAACATGATACTTGCTATGCAGCAGCGAATCTATTCTTTACAGGCATACTTTGCCTTTAAGTCCAATCTACAGTCTCACGAAACCGCTCCACTTGTCGTTGAATTGCTGATTTATTTGAAGCCACAGCATTAGGAAACTTTGTTTGAAAGTCACTTTGTAGTACTAGCAGTAAAGTACTAGTAAAGGACTAGCACTGTTCAGTGCTAGTACCGTGCGGCGAAAGTAGGAGACTGTTACTACGGCGTTCCCAGATTGCCATATATCTCATTAATAGCAATTTCATACAATGGCAGTGGTTCATAATTTAGTGAATATATATATATTTCCAAAGTTAGGGTTGGGTTTTACATGGGATAACATGTGTCTTATCTGGGACATACTTAGAATTTACGTCAGTCACTATCATCTTCATGTTTTTAGTAGTTCTTACTCCTTATTTGTCTGTAGCTACTGCAAATTACAAGAACCAAATATGCAAATTTGTACTGTAACAGAGGGACTCATGAACTATATTGGAGTGAAACTTCGACTTGATTGAGCGAGAGCCTCGCATGTCATCCACTGTGTGGGACTCACAAATAAACTTTCTTTCAGAATTAATGGATTTTGATTTCGATGGTATTAAAGGGAACGAAATAGGTGCTAAGAAAATGACATATTCAAGACATTCCTAGCTCAATTGGGAGAGAACCTATAGCACGTGTTGTGCAGTAGTGACCCAGCAGGTACAGTGGTGCTTAAACTAGCAAGTGCTTTATCTTCGCTCATGCTTATTCCATTTCAGTTAAATTCGATATCCATTACTGCAGCCAACATATCTTCCTGCAAATTTTCAAGAAAATCATATCTAGTTAAGCACACGTTATGGTGAAGCTAAGCTTTTGCACATGGTTCTTGTGGTCCTTCAGGATCACGTCGGTTGTCCCGATGATAGATGGTGGTCTTCATACCCTATAAACGCTCCACTTCCACTTTAAGCTTTGAATATTTGTCACACTTCACCCTGGTCTTGACTTGGAGGTTGGTGTCAGCCGGTATGCTCACGTCGACGATTAGGGCAATGTTCTTGTCGTAGATCGTAAGGTCTGACCTGTTACAGACGATGGTGCGGTCTGTTATTATTGGCATGTCCCGGAGTACAAGATACTTTTGTGGAAGAATTTTCCACTACAAACTGTGATTGTTGTTCGTACCACTTTTCTGGGACATCCATGACAGCATTTTTGCAGACACACCAGTGGATACAGTATATTTGCACGCTTGGTTGTGCCTGTACAAGTATTAATGGGGTCGAGTTCCGGGCACCCATTTAGGAGGTGGTAGACCGTTTCAGATGGGCTGTGACGGCATCGGCAGCGGTCTTCGACATCTAGCTTCAAGATGTGCTTATTATTATTATTATTATGTAACACATGTATTTAAAATACATATCCTGCCGGCCTGCTTCCCTACGTCAACGATGGTCCTTCCCTTGAGGGTTTTCAGCCCATCCCGTCATTCTTGGGTGCAGACGGACAGGTGGCAGGCTAAAGGGTCCTGGCTTACTGCCCTTGGGGGCGTCAGGGTATCTTAAAACACCTGGAGAGCCCTGGATTACCTGTTTTTGTATGCTTTTGGCCAGAGATGAAGCTGCTGGCTGACAGGATGGAATTATTTCTAGTGCCGACAGGACTGTGCCCTTCATCCTTCTAAGGCACCTAATAATCACGACTACGAGCGCGACTTTATAACCAGAACATGTTTGTTGAAGTTAGAACATGAGGTTCAAATATTTTGCCCTTTTCTCTTCTTCTTTCGCGCTGATGTTTTTCTCTGCTCGACAAGAGAACTCGATCACGTAGTCTGCACCCTAAATGTTATTATTAATATTATCATTATTAGTTAGTATTACTATTACTTTCCACGAATGAAAACTTTTTGACCTTATTCTGACCCTAACTTTGAAGAAAAAAATCTCCAGAAATGAATGCTACAGTGGTAAGTATAGTTGTTGAAATAAATGAAATTATATTGACGTCTATGTTCTTCCTGGCAGTGGAGAAATGCAAAAGTTTGTCATTTCAGCTGTCAATATCTTCCAATTCCTGAGCAATTTTGTTCTGGACGGTATAGATCATGATTTTTGTTTTTCATCAGCGAGGCCGAACAACGGGAGTGACGTCCTGCAACAGCTGAAGGTACCGATCGTCCCGCTGACGAAATGTGCCGCCACTCCCGTCTACAAGACGGTGGAATTCAACGAGGAACATGTCTGTGCCGGAGGGGAACCTAATAAGGACTCTTGCAAAGGAGACAGCGGAGGGCCATTGGTGGTCTTGAGACCTCAAGAAGGGCATGCTCAATATTTTCTCATCGGTGTTGTCTCTTTTGGTACTCCATATTGTGGGCTCATTGCTGCTCCCGGTGTTTACGCTCGCGTCACTCACTATCTCGACTGGATCCTCGAGCACGTTCAGGAATGACCTACCTTATCGTTCTCTCTGCCTCCAATATCTATCAGCATCTGATATGCTTAATTTTTTTGGATACTCACTTGAAAAAAGCAGGACCGTGACCCAAGCCTTTGGATTTCATTGAAAGAATTGAAAACTTGAATAAACAAATAATTGCAAATAATATACATAATCACCTTACTTCCCTGCAATCCAGGGTCGAGTTGAGGGGGGGGGGGCGAACGGAACTGTTACCCCCCGCACTACTTTCCCAGGGAGAACCCGGAAGGAAGTTAAAAACGTTAAGCATTAGTGAAAAGTAGCAGATGTTTAAAATCAAAATTTTCACCAATAGCGCTCGACTGTGTTGCTACTCCTCGGTACTTGAACAACCAGGTAAAATGTATTGGGGGAGGGGGGGTCAAGAATCCACTTTCCCCGGGCCTCACAACTTCTTAATCCGGCTTTGCCCCAATCCAATGGACAAGAACAACGGAGAATTATCCGTGAGCTTGAGCTTGAGCTTGTCATGAAAAATGGTATACCATTTATAATATCAAGCACACGAAAAAAAGAGCAGGAAATTATGAAACACCATCACGTCATAAACCATGGAGACACCGATATTCGGGATTCAGTGGATTCATGTTAGTGATTAGTTACAAGGGTAAGATCTGTTCATTTTGGCCCTCATGGAAGCCCGAGTTTGCATTATTTCCAACCTGAATATGGGAAAGGAGCACCTTGATCCAAGGCGTACCATTCTCCTCTTTTAAAAGAGAAATTTCATGGCTTCAGCTGTGACGATGACGTCATGCCGATTTGAGGTTTTTTCTTCAACTGATTAAAATAAAAAGCTGAAATTTCGCTATCAAAGTGCATTATTGATCAAGATTATATCGAAAACTATTTTTTTTATTTTCTTCCCAGAATTCATATTCGACCCTGGGACAGAAAATGTTTTAACTACTCGTATTACAGCAGTTCAAACCGAATCGAAGGACAATCCCTTCCCTTTTTACACTTTTGGCTCACTTTCTTCAGTAGCCGAGGCAGGGCAGCTTCTCACTCCCTCTTCGCTCTCCTAACGCAGACAATCTTCCCTGGAGCTCTACTGCCTCCCCACTTCGCTTGGCATAATCTTTCTCATCCATTTGTATTCCCTCGTAGTCACTCTTAGTTTCTCGCTGTTTCCTCTCACTGGCGTGTTCGTTGGGGAGGGACAACTGTATGGATCGGGTAATTAGTTTGAATCATGTGTAAAGGAAGTGGAAAAACTTGCGTGGTTTTTGGCTGTGGGGCTTCCTATTCGTAACAGGGGGGTAGAGAAGTTGGCATTTCATCCCTTCCCAAATTCTCTTGAAAGAAAAGGAGAATGGATGAAAATTGTTATCTTCTTGATGGAGCAAGTACTGACACGTAAGTTCAAATTACGAGACAGAAAAATCGTGAGGTGACATGGATCTGTAAACCTTCATATCAACAAAGTCAAACCTTCTTCCTTTCTTAGAAAAAATCCCTTTAGCGTACGAGTATGAATCGACTTCCACACCTCAACCATCCCTTCACGAAAATACCAAATTTTGGAAGAAAAAAAAGAACATGAGGTGCAGCCAAAAATTAAGGTCTGATAATGATTCCGGGAAGAAACCTTAGCAATCCCCATACCTCCTAGCAGGGATTTGTCTTTTACATTTGGATTTTCCTCTTCCCAGAGAAGACTTGTAAGGCAAGGGAACATTTGTTCATAGCGTAGCGTTCATTGTCCCCCTGAAATTCCTCTAACTCTTCCCATCATCCTCTTAGCTTATCTAATCTAGATGAGTCAAGTGACCTCTCAATTTTTGCATACGAATTCAGCCTTCACCGCTGGGGTTATTTAATATCCCACTTCTTGAGATCGAAGTACCTATTGCTTAGGAGTCTCCGATGGGGCTAGCACTTGAAAATAAAACACCCGATTTATTCGGTTTCTAATCCGATTCCCCTGTCATGGGAGTCAAGGAAGCTACCAACCGAGCCACGTCCCAGCCTCATTGAAGAGAGAATCCCCCGTGTGACGTCACAAGGATGCACTTTCCTAAACTCGTCTCCCGCGCATGCTAATGAAGCTGCTATTACTCCAACCTTGTATTTAGTAACCTTGATCTATAGCCGAGTCGAGAGGGAGTGGCCTTGCATCGTCTAGATGCATGTCAACCACCGTCTTCCACCTCATCGTGCCGAGGAAGGGCCCCCTCATGAACCCTCGGGGCAATGCAGAGGGATTCACACACAAGCGCGTAGGAATGCATGGCCTCTTCGCCCAATCACCTTCCTTCCGACCCATGCTCGGTGCGTCTCGAAGGGAGGTGTTTGTACTCCGTTTGGTACTTTGGTGGGGCATCACGTATCGCCGGTAGACTGTGCTTCCAGGCTTAAAAAACTAAGATTCCCACAATAGGTTCATCTGACAGAGTATCCCCTGTCTATCACCTTGAATGAATAGGTGCTTCTGTTCCTTCTCTTAATCTTAATCACCTCCCCTATTAGGATATCCGCGTACGCATATTTCTATTTGAGCGGTTTAATAATAAAAAAGTGAGCATTCTCCATGGCCTTTGAACCAAGTCACGCGAGGAAAAGAAATTTTCTTCCCTTGGGAGTGTGAAAAAAAACCAGATGAATAAACTGATTTCATACAGTACAGTTCATTGTACACGCATCATTTTCCCCATCGAGCCGCCGTAACCGGGGGATTTCGGAGATGACAGTCAAGGGAAGTATATGGATTGAAACTTGTGCTCTTTCTGTTGGCGACCTACAAATCTGTTCTGACGAGCGAAATCCCATTGTCTTCGAATTTAATTCCTAACCCTCACCCCCCGAGGGGATGCAGCAGAGAATTTGTATGGTATGGAGAACGAGTTCGAAATAAATCACATGCGAGACAAGTAGCCACAGGATGATCCAAAACTCGTCCGTGGACAGTCTAGTTGTCCAGAGATGGATAAAAGTCTAGAAGCGGCCAACCTTTGGATGTTCTTTGGATTTCATTGCCATGAATCGATAGGTTGTTCGACTCATCTTGTCATTGATTCTGAGCTTCATCTGGACAGAATTTCCCAATATCTTGCTCTCAATTATTACCATTTTACAGGCTTTCGGTTTTATGGAATGGCGATACGAGCATCAGATCATGCGATTTCTGGAGTTCTTTTTTTCTTCTTCAAATTTCTCATATTAGTTCGAAACCCAGTGGCTTCAATCATTATATCAATCGTGTGACGTCAAAATTTGACCAGTGCATGATTCCATTCACAGTACTCGACATTACGAGCGAAACGATGTGTCAGTCCGTATTTGGTCACCCATTGGACATGAAACAAAGGAACTTCAAAGGACAACTTCTCACAGTCTATCATTGAATGTCATTGGATGGACGGGTAAGCATTATGAGGTCTTCCTTCTTGCCCAACATCTACCAGTTCATTCAATAGAAATGAAGTTCTTACTATATTATCGAGGTCGCTGTTCATGCCTCGATTCCCCATATATTACTGGATGGTTCTGCAGAAGCTTTCATCTTGTTTTCGATATTTTCCTATGTACAAGCAAGAAAGTAGTTTTAATTAATACATTTGTTGAGAGGCATAACCTAGCTCAAGGACTTTCCAGACAAATTCTTGCACATTGCATGGAGAGAGTAGGGTTCCCTTTATCAGGTGAGTCTATGGTCGTCCAATGCTGTTAATTCGCGTCGGTCCGTGGCGATGAAGAGTGCAATATGATAGGGTAAAACTACCTAAGTTCGGTCACTGCTGTAAACATTGTTACAAAACTAAGCATTTGCGGGGCCGCCTTCAGAAGTGGTTCTTCCTAACATGAGATGAACACGTTACTGAGCGAAGGAAAAGCGGTGGTCATCATGGCTGTGCATGATTCCAAGACATTGGGCTTAGGCTAATGCTATATCGCGGACTGGAGGAATTCTTCAAGAAACTGTTAGGAGAGAACCTTAGTTCTAAAAAGTTTCACACGTGACTTTTTTGTTTTCCGTGCTCAATTCTTACTTCCCAGGAAACTAGGACATGGAGTCCTGTTACACAGAATGCATATGTATTGATCAGATTATTGTCTTACTTTCGGTGTGTCCGAACTCAGAAACTCCGGCCAAGAAATGTCTGAGAAACTTGAGTTCGGACATACATTCATGTGTGTTATATCTGCGGAAGTATGACGTCCTCTTGAGATAACGTTTAGAGTTGACAAAAAGCTCAGTTGAGTCATGCTTTTCAGAGAACATGTATTTTTGAGCTCTGTCCGAGCTTTCATAACGGGACGTGTAACTTCGGACACTGTCGAGCACATATGAAAAAATACAGCTTCATGTATTTATTCGCACACTTAAGTGTGCAGTGTGCCTCCAAAGAAGTGGTAGGAGGTGGGAATGCAAGGGATTATCGATCCGAGGGTGTTGAAAAGGCCATCAGGGCTTTAATTCGGGTAGATGTCCTTGCGGAAGGCCAACATTGCCTACGATGAACACGTCTGCTGGATACATTTTCTTCTAGGAATTGTACCTCCAAATTCGGAGCGGGGATGTGTCCCTGAAGTTGGATGTTTTCTGAATTAAGCATGCAGAGAAATACTTGTCTACTGAATATAACAAACTGTGCCAGTCCGTTCTGCTTAAAGATAATTTTCGACAACATGACACTAATGAATAAATGCGCCAAAGGGATTATCCGCAAGAATAGGATTTTTCCAGAAATTAGCGACTGGAGAGCAACCTAAGCACGAGATTCCAGGTTTCTATATCCTTCACCGTCCGATTCAATGTAGCAAAACATAATTTAAAATATGGCTCCCTCTAAATGTACCCCCAGAAGATTTCTCCCAGAAACAGGATTTCCTCCTATGACTGCATACCAGCATGTACCTAATTAGTAAGGTTTCAGTCTTTCGTCTCCATGATTCCCTGGAACGAAATAATTTTTTTGGGAAAGGTCTACCCCAAAAATATGCCCATGGGAACGAATCCTAAAAGTAGCCCCCCCCCCCCCCCACTGAAATCTGCTCCTCGATAGGTACCGACGCACCAAGTTTCAGCTTCTATGTCTCTCCGTTTCATTGAAGCAAACAAATTCATGGAGATACGTCTCTCCCTAATGACAAGTACCTGAAATCCGCGTAGAGTTATTCGTGTATACCTACCAAGTTCAAACTTTCAATCTCATCTAAAACATGGTTAGAATTAAAGTCAGTCGCTGACTCACTCCATCACGGTCATTCTATATAGGGCATGGTTCTGATTAATCAATTAATCAGTTAATCACTTTTTCGAATTTAATCATTAATTAGGCAAAAATATTTTTAGAAAATGATGACAAATGATTAATTTTCCCATAATTTCAGCATCATGTTATCATAAATTTTGTGATGTGGCATCTGAATTTGTACCAACTATTTACTCTGTGCATTTCCCAGAACAGTTCCCCCACCCATACTTCGCATTTCAATATAAGCTTGTTTTGAATTTCCCGCTCAAATGCTATTCGTTAACAGTTGGTGGTCGCAACTCGCAAGCTGCAGATAAGGGGGTGGGCGTGTCCAAGGTTTCTCGTGTGATTTCTGTGAAATATATTTCTCTGTACTCTTTTGAACTATTGCATGAAATTAATCAAGCGCGGTCTTTTAATCTCATTTGTTACTTATTAGTATAGGTTAGTAGGATATAGATGGATAGGCCAAGCCTTAGTAGAGGAACTTAGGCCTCAGGTAAGCAAAATTCTAATACTTGTGATCTAGGGCCTAGGCTCTCAAAATTTGGTGGTTTTATTCAGTTGTTTTTAATTGTTGGAGTGGCACATGAGAGAGGAGCTTTTGCAGAGGTATGAAGTGCGAAGTATTGCACATTTTGTTTTGCGTTTCATTGACCTTTCACCCATTTCAGAAGCATTTAATTTTCAAAGACTAGTCTCAGCGCCTTCAGTGAAGAGTGAGTGAGGGTGACACCTTGATGGAAAGTGTCACCCCATGCAGCAAGCATGGCATACTCTCCAATGCAAACCTCTTTTCACGAGGCCGTAGAGTGGAGTCTGCAATAAAAGTTCATGACCAAAATCATCGGATCGGGGAAGCAAGACGAGCATCTCGTTTCCATTCCACAACCTCAGGGTGGGCATTCCTTCCATGATCCCTTTCTTAGGGGAGTCGAACTGGGTGGTTGGGGCCTGCCCCTGTTTTGGTCGTCATTCACTTTCCTCGCATAGCAAGATTTTTAAAACCGGAAATGCATACACTATTTCAATTTCCATCTTCTGAGTCGGTCAAGTCCGTCATTACGAGTATCCCCTTTTGTGTGTCACGAAAATAGCAATCACTCGCGAGGGAAAAGGAAGTCACGAGTGTCCCAGGACATGTGTCAGACATGCGACACGTATCCTTTTGCTTCCGTCATAGTGTCCGTCATATCGCTCTCGTAGAAGGTCAACTGGATATAAATTTCCTTCCTCAGATGTCCTTATTTCGTCTGTAGGATTCGACGCCGACCGCATGTTGGAATAGATTTGTGATTCCTCTCCACGTAGAAGGGCTGAAAGGATTGGAACCAGACGGAGTGGAAATTGAAGAAAAATCTCGTCGAGAATAACAAGCTCGTCATGGCTTTTCTGATCACCAGCTTCACCATCTTTCTCCTTTTTGCTTTCGCTCATCCGAAACACCTGCGACTCCCAAGAAAGGGTGAGGCAATTAAAAATTCCATTCTCATCGCTTGACATGTGCCGGTCTTCCAGTAACATGCTATCCTAGTGAGAGCATTGCTCTCGGTGACCTTCCACACTCACTTGGGGTAGAGTAATCTTTCAAACTTTCAATCTTAACATTCCTTATGCGTATTCTCCGATAAAGATGACCTGGACTCGAGGGGAGCATTCCTCCTGACGAGCGCATTCCCAACAGATGATTAGTGATCTTTTAAATATGTATTTACAGAATGAAGGATTGAATTTTACTTATGGGGAGCAGCCAAAAGTTATTACCGAAGTTCAAGAAATTTTCGCATTATCTTTGCAAATATGTCATAGCAGTGGTAGTTCAGGAAAATTGTGTCCGAGCACGAAAAAGGAAATGTCATGCCTCACTGAAACACTTCCTGAAGAGTGTCATAGAATCTCTAATTTATTACTTTCGTTACTTCTTAGAACCTTCTGAGTGCTATGTCTTAACGAGGCTGAATGATGGCACCCTCTAATAGATAATGTACCGCGGGGTGTTCAATAATTATTACCTTCTTTTTTATTTTCGCACAAATGAGACAATATTAAGACGTCATCATCACACCACCCATTCGATGTACTCCTGCTCTATATGCAGAATTTAATCAGTTAAATCTAGCAATGATTGCAATTTGAACAGTCCTCTATAGGTGCGGTTTCGAGCTCTACGAGAGAAATTGACACTTCCAGAAACATTCTGAATCACAGGGCGCTTTCCCTGCCAGCTCAGACTTGTGAGTATATAACAACGAGAAGTAGCCCTTGGTAATATCGTGTCAACAGAGTGGAGGTGGTGCGATGTTCATCACTAGTAATTAAAAAATCTTCTGACCCATCACTTGGACTATTGCCAAGCAGAAGCTTTATCACTCTTCATGCAGACTTTGCCCATCTCTCCCTGGTAGCCTTTTCAACTTCTCAGAATATTACTGCAACCTAGAATCACCCTGTAATATTTTGAATTTTGAAGCTGAAATGTGAATTATTAGGCTTTTATATTTGATAAAATGCCATGAAGCTTCTTTCCCATCATCTATTATCTTGGTGACTGGTCACTTCCAGTTATGTGTGCTTGCTTCCTAACTAGTTTTCTGACTTAAAAAAGTAAATTCCGGTTCCACCACCAGTAATAACTTGGGCAGAATTTTTAAATCTGTATTTTCAAATTAAGTGATGTTCCCACTACATATTTCACTCCGTTCCTGTTCCTATGCATCTGTGAGCATTTGGGGCACTCAACCAGCACAAATCATCCTCATTCAGAGGTTGTGTTGGTGAATGGTCTCAACAGTCCCCTTCGAGATGGACACAATGGCCACAGTATTAGGTATTTCACGCACGGCAGCACTGCACCCTCTTCAAGTATGGCCTCAACAAGAGAGCACAGTTCCCTAGGATCTCACAGTGAGAGGGATGCATTGAAGTGCGGTCGCTTTCCAGGCTCCTCATTCCTTTTCTGGAGCGAGCAGCCCAATGGCAGTTAGTAGTTATATCAGGGACAAAATCCTGACAAAATTTCAAGAAGTCACCTCGAACAGACTTCGGTAAGCATTTAAGAAGAGTGTGAGGTATCATGACTGTTCATATGATGTCACCTGAATCAGCTACTCTGTAGTACCAGAGCTCAGTGGGTATAACTAAGTCCAATAAATATGTTCTTTCCCTACGATGTGATACGCAGAGAGAGTAGGAAATTAAAGCCCACATTCCGTTCTTCATGAACAATCGCCTCATTTTCTTTGTAGAGTAAATAAATACAAAAAAGTAAGAGGAGGCAATTTCTTTTAAACGCCTCTCATAGAAATCAGCTGAAAAAAATTCGTGCTCTGCTCCACAGGGATTCCGGCCCACACGATTGGCGAGAATTGCAAGACGCCAGAGCCCAACGTTCGACCAGGGAAATGTATCAACATCAAAGATTGTACAGAACTCCTCTCTCTCCTCAGAGGAGCGAATAGGAATGTCGCTTACGTGAGGCGGTCCGTCTGTTCCATAACGGGCAATGGGGAACCCTGTGTCTGCTGCCCAGTGGAGAAACCCCCTCCTCCCACCATCGAAGTAAGATGTTTCTAACTAGAGAGAGAAAACAAGTGCTAAAATAAAATAAATATTTATTCACTTTTTAAACTAATTTTCTTGCAATAAAAAAATTATGTCGTCGACAGTGCCATCGACCTCCATAAAATCCTATGGCATTATGTTTTCAGTTTGACCCTGCTCTGCGCGATACTGTTAAACAACTTTGGAATTTGGATCTCAAGGATTCGTTCATTGTGTTTCTTAGGAAGCTATAGATAATAAGGAGCTATTCCCAGATCCTCGCAAGTATGAATGCGGGATTGAGATCAACGATAGAATTGTGAACGGGGAAAATGCTCCCCTTGGAGCGTGGCCCTGGATGGCTCTGCTTTTCTTTCAAAGTAAGCTGAATATTGTGCAGTCTTCCACCGGGAGTTTCTTTGGCAGTTCACCTGTAGAAATATTCTGAATTAACGGGGGGATTTCACATTCCAGTTCCTGGGGTAGGAGTGAAGCCAATTTGTGGTGGAGCGGTGATCAACAAACGATACGTGATCACGGCTGCCCACTGCTTCAGCTCCGAATTCATGGGCGACAGCAAACTGTAAGTCCTCATAATTTCCTTCGATTCTCAGTTTCGTCTTCAATGGATTGACGACATCGTACTCGCAGCGCATTTGTGAGATTGGGAGAGCACAAACTATCGACTAATCCAGATTGCAACGGGCCGAATGAACAAAGGTGTCAACCGCTAGTCATCGATGCGGATGTAGAAGAGATCATCTACCATCCCAATTTCTATCAGAACACCACCATAGGAGCTAGGTTTGACATCGCCCTCATCCGACTCGCCAATGACATCGATTTCAAAACAGGTAATATATTAGCTGTCCATGCGTTCAGTCATTCATTCAATCAATGAGGGTAATTCTGAAGGCGCCAAGATAGAGGTTCTTATCGATAACCGATGTCAAGGTCCCAGAAGTCCCTTTACCGACCCTGACTCTCACGTGCTAATATTACGCCTATCGATGGAGCTTTGCGATTGTATCTGCAGCAAAAATATGTTGAAATTACAAATGAAGTCAATATCTTATTGTTTTTTTTTACATATCATCAGAGATCGGAGCGCACTCAGAGATACACTAAGGTGCAAAAGTATTTGCCCCCAGTATTTCAAGTATTTCTCAGGGTGGATGGGATGAATATGAAAACCAATTTTCATATTCATCCCATCCACCCTGATACCTTTTTTTAATAGATAAGGCATGAGACAAGGTACAAAAGTATCACAATTAATATCTTTAATAATTAGGATCCTCTCTCCTACGAGTCAATCAAAGCCAAACATGGCGCTTTCATCGACTTGACCAATGATGAATGAATGAGTGGCCAAGTCGATTTTGTCCCATTCTTCGTGCTGAAATCTCTTCAGTTCGTCGAGATTTGATGGTTTCCGGTTCTCGACACACTGAGGAGCGACTAGAGATTCTGGATCGGATCGACGTCCGGACTGTTCAACGGCCAGTCGATCGTGTCGGGTACTTCCTCGAGTAGGAACTGCTCCGTCACTCGACTTCATTGTTTGGGATTGTTGTCCAGCTATAGTCGCCAGCGTCAACCGAATTGCCTTCTGGCACTACAGAGGAGGTGATATTGAAGGATTTGAACGTAGTCTGGGCCATCCCTAATTTCCTAATTTTCTCGAACGAATTACAGCCAACCAGGCCCATGACCTTGAAACCGTCCCACACCATAATCTTTTAGTTCTTCGGGTTTCGCTCGACCTCGCCTCTTGGATTCTTTGACCATCCACGGATTGTTAATTGGTATGAGGTCTCATCGGTGAATACTGTCCGGCTCCAATCGTCGTTCTCGTGTCGAATTGCCCACTTAGCACACATCCTTGTGCTTTTGTGTCAACATTGGCGTCGCATGGGGCAAAGTACTCTTGTAGCCCATCCGTTTGAGCTGGCGTTGTGCCGTCCATTGGGACATGTGCCGACTCGGTCCTGAAGCAACTTTTGCACCAGTTCTTTCGCCGTCGACTCATGGTTTCGTCTAATCCACTGGCCGAGTGCCTTGTCGTCGGCGAAGGTGATCTTGCGGTGTCGGCCACTACGCCGTCTGTTCTTCAACGTGCCTTGTTCTTTGATCTTGGCGATATCGTACTTGACAGTCCGAACGGGGATCTTCGTCAGACGAGCAATTGTGGCAGGAGATCGATGGCCGTTGTTCCAGAAGTGTAAAATAGTTTATCGCTTCGTTTTCGGCGAAGTACTGCAGAATTTCGTTGTCGAGGCATTTTCTTCCAACTCTCGAATGTTTACGACGATTTGCGGTTTTCACAGCTATATATTGAATCTCACCTTCTAGAAAGTTCTCGAAAAATCTCCAGAAATTTCCAGAGACATGCTTCCGTAAAGTTGGCTTATGTGAGGGGCAAGGACTTTTGCACCTAAGTGTAGCTTTATTGCCAAATTCATTATCTCAGAGCAATCCAAATATCGCCCTGCCGATTGCCAATGAAAGCTCCCTGAAAGTGACGTGACATCTAGTTTTCCCCCTTTTCTCAGCCTCTTACTGGTTAGCAACATGGCAATTTTTTTTTTTTATAGGAAGGATTGCCCCGATCTGTCTGCCGCTTGACAAGGAAATTGTTGCACCGGATGGAGATATTTCCTTTGATAACAAGACTGGTTGGGTCACTGGCTGGGGACTGACAAGCGTTGGTGAGTTCCGCTTTCAACATTCCATTTATTCATACGAGGGGGCTTCAAAAAGTTCGTGGAAAAATGACATTAAAAAATAACATTGAAAGATATGAACTTTATTTCTCACCATGAGCTCCATCAAGTTCAAGACACTTTTGTAAGAGATGATACCAGCCATTTAGTCCATCCCGAAAGAACTGGGGGTCCTGGGACTTTAACCATGTCAATGCAGTCTTTTTTGCATCATCAACTGAAGAAAAATGGATGCCTTTAAAGATTTTTTAAGATTAGGAAACAAAAAGAAGTCAGAAGGAGCCAAATCAGGACTCTATGGTGGATGGCTAATGATTTCCCATCGAAACTCTCGCAAAACTGCCCTCGTTTGATGAGAGGAATGAGCAGGTGCATTGTCGTGATGGAAAAGGACTCTTTGGTGAAGCTTTCCTGGGCGTTTTTCTGATGAAGCTTTGGCAACTTTCTCAAAACACTCTCATAATTAGCAGATGTTATAGTTCTTTGGCCCTCCAAAAAGTCAACAAGCAAAATGCCTTGAGAATCCCAAAAAATTGTTGCCGTGACCTTTGCTCTTGACCGGTCCGCTTTTGCTTTGACTGGACCACTTCCACCTCTTGGTAGCCGTTGCTTGGATTGTGCTTTGTCTTCAGGATCGTATTGGTTAAGCCATGTTTCATCCCCTGTTACAATTCTTCGAAGAAATGCTTCAGGATCTTGATCCCACTTGTTTAAAATTTCCATTGAAAGATCTGGTCTTGTCTGCAGCTGATCTGGGCGCAACAGTTTCGGGACCCATCGCGCGGAAAGTTTGCTCAACTGCAATTTTTCGGTCAGAATTGTGTAAGCTGAACCAACTGAGATATCTAGGGCGTTGGCTATTGCTTCTGCTGTTAATCGTCAGTCGTCTTCAATTAGGGCGCGAACAGCATCAATTTTTTCCTCAGAAACTGAAGTGGATGGTCTGCCACTGCGAGCGTCATCTTTAACATCATCGCGTCCATTCTTAAAACGAGTTATCCATTTGTAAACTGCCGATTTCTTCGGGGCATTGTCCCCATAAAATTTTCCTAAAACATCAATGATTTCACCATTCTTCCACCCAAGCTTCACCATGAATTTGATGTTTGTTTTGCTTCGATTTTAGCAGAATTCATGTTGCTCTAATCTGATTCTATGGGGGCTCTCTTCAAACTGACGTCTTCTCCTTCCTAATGCCTAAAGTCGGCTTCTGCTCAGGCATGTTATAACGCGTTAGTAAGAGTTTCTTTTTGTGCAAAGAGATTGAAATCCACGCATGTATTCTTTTCAAGCTACACATTTTCCACGAACTTTTTGAAGCCCCCTCGTATTTTTCCTTCATACCTAAGGTATTTCTATAAGCAGAGGAAAATAGATACGAGATTCAGTCAAAAAGTTCGGGAATGATTTTATTACAACTAGGGAGACAGTCATAATCAAATGCTCTTGGCGTTAATATTGACTCTGAAATATCCTCATCCCCTCCCTAAATGCTTAAGCACACATGTGATTGTGCTAGACACTCACTCTATCAAAACCAGTTTTGTATTCTTTTGGCGCGCTGCAAGTAAACATGGAGAATGAACAACGTATCAGCGACTTTTTCGAGAAGAAAAAGGGAAATTGCCTACAGAAAGAGTGCCAGGACAATCATGCAGTGCTGTCGGCCCAGCGTTTCGTTTGACACCTCTCAGAGCACTGTGGTCTGTTCAAGACTGACATTGAGGTCTTGATGCAGGCATCCTCCTTGCTCACCTGACATTTGAAATCTGCTTTGAAGGAACATCTTTTCGAAACATTGATCGCATTAAGAAAAATGGGACAAAGTAACTGAAATACATTCCAGTTGAAGACTTTCAACCCTTACGGAACTTTCAAATTCTGGCCTTATAATGATGCGGAGTGGATTTAGGATTCTATCCATTACATAAACTCAGTTTCATGCAATCCACCCACCACAAACCACCACAAACATTAACACGGCGATATTCCAGGCCCGGATGGAAAGGTTTAAATACGTGTTTAAGAATTAACTGTGTCCTTGCCACTACTGAAGAAATATGTAAGTTAGTCAATCTCTTCCTCGTTTTATCTAAGCATGTCCGTGTTTGTGTTGTGTCCGTGCTGTGTTACAGTCAGGCCAAATTATGGGAGTGACGTCTTGCAACAGCTGAAGGTACCGATCATCCCGTTGGCAATATGTTCCGCCGTTCCCGCCTACAAGACGGTGAAATTGAATGAGGAACATATCTGTGCTGGAGGAAAGGCTGAGACATGCCATGGGGACAGTGGGGGGCCGTTGGTGTTCTTGAGACCTCTGGGCGGACATGCTCAATATTTTCTCATCGGTGTTGTCTCGTTTGGTTCTCCACTTTGTGGGGAAATTATTGCTCCTGGTGTCTACACTCGCATCACTCATTATCTCGACTGGATCCTCGAACACGTCCATGAATGACCTACCATATCGTTCTCTTACCCTCTATCAACATCCGATATGCTTTACTTTTTGACTCGAAATATCATGATTTTAAGAAGTCCAATAAGAAGATATCCTCTAAATTCACCATCAAAGCACGACATAGTGACTGTCACTGTGAGGCCCGCATTTGATCATTTCAAAAATCTTTGTGGCTGTTGGATCTGGGTTGATATCGAATGATTAAAATCTTTGCCAAAGAATGGACATTACGGTCAATCAGTTAAGCGAACGCGATCATGCAACGATCACTCAGAAATGTCTGGGAATCGAAAGGTTCATGTCGCCACATACCAGAGCAAAAACATTAGTTTTCCTTTCTTCATTTTAGCTGTCATGCTGCATGCTTTCGCTCATCTGTGCTCTGGTTATTAGCTCAAGTAGCACAACTGCGCGCCGCACTTTTGAATCGTATCTGGGTCCTAGGTTTCACCACACCCTGTGCGAGATATATTGTGCAGCGTCATTGTTCGGAAAACATATGCATTTCCACTCCTTATCACATCTTCACAAAAACGCAGACAATGGATCATGTTTCTTCCTACGAACCTCACTCAAATGAGGAAAACTTAGAGATTGGCAGGAAGAAGAGAATTCCTCAAATTCCTCACGTGCCGATGTGTATCGCAGTTTTTGTCTCTCTTGAGAGGGCTTTCTTCTCATTTTCAATATGAAACATATCCTGGACTGCAAACACAGATATGACGAAGAGTGCTAAGAAATGTGTGATTCCAAAGTTGATATTTTTATAAGTTGCCTAGAACAAGCTGAGTTCTCTGGTTGTTTTAGGACACCTATGAAAATATCTAGAATATGTATATAATAAACTTATAAAAATAAAAATAAAAACTTGCTCATGTCAACTCTAGCTTCTAGTGACTAGAAGCTATACCTAACCCTGAGTGTCTATCATGCTCCTACACCAACATACTAGAATGTAAAGCCTCAAGGAGATGCAATACGAAGCTAGGATTTAATGCGAAATTTCCGCGTCATTCACCGGAATACAGTTGGAATGAAGTCCAGCTCCAAGTCGACATAGCTCGGGGAAAATAACTTGAAAAGGAACTTGTCCTTGTAATAACTTACAATTGGCGAGAAGGATTCATAAATTTAGTGAACTAGGATGGAATACTTGTAATTGTAACTTGTTACTTTTGACATATAACGGGGCCAACCCTGTAATTCAGTTCAAAACAGTTCTGAAGCGATTATTTATTTAGAAAGCAGCAAATATATCAATGCATTTGAATGAACCAAACGGATAATCAATCCATAAGCCCGCATTTTCTTTTTATTGCCGTTTTTTAGATTTTTTCTCGCCAGTAATGCAAGAATACATATTTCTTGGCTGTGGGTTGGTCATTTCAAGGAGCACCTTGAGAAACATCTTACATTTCTATTAAGATGGCGCTGTCAACTCCACAATGAAAAAATATTTACATCCATGACCGGTTGAATTTAGGATGCATATATTCAAAATGTATAGTGTATGGTGGGAAGGCCTCATCAAATAACATCAATCTCCATCCAGCCATTTGCCCAACTGTCCCCAAAAGGTTTATCAAAAAGGTGGACACACCGTATTGATGACCAATGAAAAAAGTTATGCAAAACAATAATAAATCTTCACTCAATGTCTAAACGATACTGATAATATCGAAATTAAACAGCTGGGCGCCGCGGCATCTTCGAACCGGATGAGAGCTTTATGTTGCTGGAGACATCCCCATTCAAGAAATTGGGATGAATTTGGTAGTTCTCGACCAGGAAGTCCTGCCGATTGAAGCACTGAGGTCTAGGCTCGGAGGCACATTGTCTGTCTGAGTCCTGGACTCTCTCTCCCAGCCGCACGAAACTCAATCGGTAAGAACCCAGATCAATAGGGTTAACGCAATGGGCGACAGTCAGGACGTACCGATCGTTGATGAGGACACCTGTGCAGCCGAACCTCGTCCTGTTCTCACCGTCTGCAGGGGAAACACGCCAATTTGATTTTGAGTCATCATCTTCCGAGGAAGAGCAGAGAGAGAATTAAATTGAAATCTGATACATCTGTTACGTTATCGAAAGATATTAATCAAAGTTTGCATTATACGCAAGTTGAATACACTAACGAGCTACATGGCACCTCTCATAATACTGCTTGATGTTATCGTTGATTCGTAAGAAAATGAAAATCATGTAAAATAGTGTGGGGAAGACGGGTCTGCTTGTATCATTGTATCACAGATACATTCTTAAGACTTCTGCAGTTGGGGAATCGCGAGTGGAATCCACATTTATTGGCGATTTAGGCGCTACCTTGTTGACATTGTAGGAATCATATTTTCATTGGAGAAATAGCCAGATGGCAGACAACATGGTAGGTCTTACCTTTGCCCGAAATCCAAGGATGTTCACAGCACATTCGCCCCGACTTCCATCACGTACATCCTTCGCATGACCGCCGGACAAACCTGTATGAATGCTATTTTCCTGGTTTCGAAGCAGGTTCCTCTACCATCGGAGTCAAAATCGCAACAATCCGAACCACTCATGCTCCTTTTTACATTTATCGACTGACTAGTTACAAGCAAATATTCGTGCATGAGGATTAAAGCTGGATGTAAAGCTGCTTATGGGCAGGTCGTTATTAGCTGCGCTCTGCAAACAATCTCAATCTTGGATAAACGTCAGCGAAGAAGAAAGAAAAGGTCCAACCTATTTTTTTTATCTTCAGATTGCTTGACATGACCTGTATGTAAAAATTCGATAATCTAGTCAGAGATATGGATAAAACTCAAGGCCGTAAATAAAGAGTGGTAAGGGTTGGTGCCCAGGGACGCCGGGAAAGGGTGTGTAAGGGGAGGGGAGTGAGGCAAACGAAAAATGAAGGCAGAGAAAAAGAAAAAGGAAACAAAATTAGGATGATAGTAAAATAAAGTAATACGAAAATGGAATGGAGACATATCGGTTAATAAATATTGAGTAGTAACCCCATGAAAGGATTACTATACCCTTAACAGAATGATAAACTAGCAACCGGAATCCTCAGTCTCTGCGGGCGTGATAGAAAGCTGCATATGACGTAGGCTCCAATCTTTATTCCTACATGAACATTTTGAAACGAGCGTAATACACTCCTGTTATTCAAATTCACATCAACCGAGAGGGAAGGGGAGGCAATTTCATAAATGAATAGAAACTACTTTAATAAGCGACATTACTAACAGACACTATGAAAAAAAATCAAGAGGAATGCCCCTTGCAAGATGGGTGAGGAAACCACATGGAGTAATTATGACCCAGATCCAATTTGCAAAAAATAGAGGAGGTAGGGGATATAGGTATCCATCGCCCCCCCCCCTCACTTACTTGGCCCTGCACACTTCTTTGACAAGTTTCACTATTCACCATAATCGAGGCCACCGAATCCTGCTTCGTCCTCCGAAATCATCCTTCATAAAAAAAATATTCTCACGTCGACAGTAAAGAATGAGAGGACGATAGCTTGATAATAGAGAGCGTGTACTCAGGCATACTCCTCAATGTCAACCTCTTTCCTGAGACCGCAAGTCCACAAGCAAAATCACTTCACTCTGGGCAGCAAAACGAGCATCTTGTTCTCGTTTTCCAACCCTTATATGGTCCCCGTTTAGGGGAGTTGAACTAAATGTCGGGGCTTCCTCTTCCTTTGTTTATCATTAACCTTCACTGCATAGAAAGATTGCGAGAACCGGGAACGCGGTTACTTAACCGTTTTCATCTTCTAACTCGATCAAGTCCGTCATTACGGGAATCCCCTTTCGTGAGCCTCAAGCATAGATATCACCCGCTCGACAGAAAATGAGTCAGCGAGTGCCTGAGGACATAGCCCCCTTTGCTTCCGCCATATTGTGTATCGGCTTCTCCTTGAAGGTCAACTAGATTTAAGTTTCCTTCCTCCGTTGTCCTTATTTCGCCTGTAGGATTCGACGCCGACTGCATGGTGAAATAGATTTGTGGACTTTCTCTCTACATAGGAGGGTTGAGAGGATTCGAAACGGACCAAGTGGGAGGGGTTTCAAGATCTCGTGTAATACATGGCTTTCCTGATCGCCAGCTACACCATCTTTCTCCTTTTCGCTATCGCTCATCCAAAGCACCTGCGACTCCCTAAAAAGGGTGAGGCACTTAAAAATTATTCTCTCCTTACTTGTCATGTGCGCCTGTCGTCACCTTGGACCCTCAGGGGTAGATCCAAGGCTTTCAACTTCCACATTCGTATGCATATTCTCCGATGGAAATGACGAGAACAGGAGGCATTCCTCCTGACGAGCCAATCCCCAACAGATAATTAGAGATTTGCTTACATTCACTGACAGGATGAAGGATTGCATTTTACTTAGGTGGAGCAGATAATTTTTTATTATTACCGAAATTCAATCAATTTTGCATTTCGCATTTTGCCAAAGCAGAGGAGGTTGAAGAATATTATGTCCGACCATGAAGGAAATGTCATGCCTGTCTGAAGCACTCCATTTGGGGTTCCGTAGCATCTCTGATGGATTACTTGGGGAGAGTAGAATCTTAGGAAATATATTTCTTAGCGGAAGTCGTTGGTGGTACCCTCTCATTGGCATGTATGAGTCGACTGAAAAAAATTCATAACGCTGTTCCACAGGGAATCCGACCCATATTGACGAGGAGTGCAAGACGCCAGAGCCCAATGTTCGACCAGGGAAATGTGTCAACATCAGAGATTGTGCGGAACTCTTCTCTCTCATCGAAGGACCGGAATGGGATGTCGAATACTTGAGGCAGTCCGTCTGTTCCGTAACGATCGATGGGAACCAAAGTGTCTGCTGCCCAGTGGCGAAACCCACTCCTCCCCCAAAAGAAGTAGGTGGATATTTCTTACTAAGGAGAGGAAACAAGTGTTGAAATTTAAAATATTTTATTTACTTTTTAAAATACTTTTTCTTGTAAAAAAAAAAAATGTCGTCCACAGTGGCATCGGCCTCCATAAAATCTGATGGCATTATATTTTCCTTCTTTGACCCTTCTCTGCCCAATACTATGGAGCGATCTTGGAATTTTGACCTCAAGGATCCATTCATTGTGCTCTTTAGAAAACTACCAATAAATTGAAGTTGTTTCCGGATCCTCTCAATTATGAATGCGGGTTTGAGGTCGACCACAAGATAATTGGAGGGGAAGATGTTCCACTCGGGGCATGGACCTGGATGGCTTTGCTTTTCTACCAAAGTAAGCTAATTTTCGTGCTGTCTTCCATCAGGAGTTTGTTTTGCAGTTCACCTGTAGAACTATTCTGAATTAACGGGGGGATTCCGCATTCCAGTTCCTGGAGTAGGAGTGAAGCCAGGCTGTGGTGGAGCGGTGATCAACAAACGATACGTGATCACGGCTGCCCATTGCGTCAGCCCCGAATTCATGGGCGACAACAAACTGTAAGTCTTCATAATTTCCCTCAATTTCCAATTTCGTTTCCACTGACTAGACAATATCGTGCTCGCAGCGCATTTGTGAGACTGGGAGAGCACACTCTGTCGACGGATCCAGATTGCTTTAGGATGGTGTGTCAACCGCGAGCCATCGATGCGGAAGTGGAAAATGTCATCTACCCTGTCAATTTCTACCATAACAGCACCACAGGAGCTAAGCTTGACATCGCCCTCATCCGACTCGCCAATGACATCGATTTTGAAACCGGTAACAAATCAACCGTCTATGCGTTCAGTCATTCATTCAATAAGGGTAATATTGAAGGCGTCACGATAAAGATTCTTACCGATAACCAATTTCAAGATCCCAGAAGTCCCTTTACCGACCCTGACTCTCACGTGCTAATATTACGTCTATCGATTGAGCTTTACGATTCAATCCGCAGCAAAAGTTTCGAATTTAATAATTAGGTCAAATATAATTATTATTATAATAAAGTCAAATAATTCTTTTCTGCATGACATCATCCAAAATCAGAGTTCACTCAGGAATAGCTTCATTATCAAATTCAATAGCAGAGCAAGCCAAATTTCGCCGAGCCGACACCCGAAGAAAATATTGCGACATTTAACTTCCCCCCCCCCCTTTTCCCCCTGCTTACTCCGGTTAATAGCACTCCAATTTTGTGTAGGTAGCGTAGTTCCGGTTTGTCTGCCATTCAACAAGTCTATCATTGCACCGGATGGAGATATTTCCTTTGATAACAAGACTGGTTGGGTCACCGGCTGGGGACGGACAACAATTTGTGAGTTCCGTCTTCCATTTTCCATTTCTTCATGATTTTTCCCTAATACTTATGGGATTTCGATAAACAACTGGAGATGCGTACGCGGCCTAATAAAAAAAATTTCACATAATGTTGTTATTAAAATTAGGGAGATAGTAGTTAATCAAATTCGCTTTGCGTTAAAATTGACATTGAACCATCCTCATCCTAAACGCTTACGTACAGTCATGTGATTTGGCTGAACACTCACTCCAACGCAACCGTTTAGTACTAGTTTGGCGTGCTACAAGTAAACATGGGGAACAAACAATGTATCAACATGAAATTTTGAAATGGACACATCTTTTCCATTACTGGTGAAACTTGAAAGTTTGTCAATCTCTTCCTAGTTTTTACTGAGTACCTCTGTTCCACACAATATACACGTATAACACGAGTGCTGTTTTTCAGTTCAACCAAATGATGGGAGTGACGTCCTGCAACAGCTAAAGGTACCAATCGTCCCGCTGGCGAAATGTGCCGCCACTCCCATCTACAAGACGGTGGAATTGAATGAGGAACATATATGTGCTGGAGGAGAACCTGACAGGGACTCCTGCAAAGGAGACAGTGGGGGGCCATTGGTAGTCTTGAGACCTCAAGAAGGGCATGCTCAATATTTTCTCATCGGTGTTGTCTCATTTGGTACTCCGTTCTGTGGAAATGTTGATGCTCCTGGTGTTTACACTCGCATCACTCATTACCTCGACTGGATCCTCGAGCACGTCCAGGAATGACCTTACATGTCCTTCTTTTTTGGCCACTAATATCTATCATTATTTAATATGGTAACTACTTGAAGACTCTCTTGAATGAAGTAGGACCATTGCTGATGCATGTGGATTTCATTAAAAGAACTGAATAATTGAGGAAAAAATAATTACAATCACAAATAATAAACATTATTGCATTATCCCACACAAATCCAATGGACAAGAACAACCGAGTAACGTCTGTAAGCTTTCTCTTTTCGTGAGAAGTGCTATAGCATCTATGCTACCAAACACATGAAAAACAGCAAGAAAATAATGTAATAGCATCACATCATTAATCATTAAAGGAAAACCGATACTCGAGATTCAGTGGATACACTTTGATAAGTTGCAAGAGTAAGCAAGATCTATTCATATTTGCTTAGATCTGCTCAAGATTTGCAAGATCTACTCATATCAAGGAGACCAATTAGTAGGTATCCTTTGACTCCACCTTCAAAGTGAGACATGGAGAGCCCATCACTGCGCGTCCCGCTTTCGATCTGATAGCAGCTGAATACTAATTTTAGATTATGCATGACGTCCTATTAACCTTTATCGGACCTAAGGGAACTTAAGTTCCCGTTTAGACATAGGCGCTATCGGGCAATGGGAACTTAAGGTTCCAGGAGTTTCGGTATCGCCTATATTCGTTCCTCTATATTCTATATATATATTCTATATTCGTAAATTCGAAAGTCGGCGTAACGTTATTTAAATGTTCTAAGTTAAGTCTGTCCGCCAGCCCCTATAGCTTGGATTTAAATACAGTACGATGATGGGTAAAGGCTTTCTTTGTTATTTTCGGGGTGCAATTTCCAACACAAACTGACACTTGTAACTGCTAAGAGATGTGAAGGAGTGAGGTTTTCGCTTTAAATAGAAGATCGACCACCAACCACGGCCATCATCCGGATTTATCGACGTAATTTTCACGAATAAGTTTGCGCTGAGACTCTCGTCTGTCCTGGAAAGAGACTGCATCTGAGGGAAGTCACGATGCGAAGTGTCGATGGAGGTCGCGATGGCTAGACGAGATGATCAAGGCAGCTGGTGCAGTGTGGAACGGAGGAGTGCAAAGTGAAGTACAATGGTACCAGGTGGGAAAGCTTTCATCCAGCAGTGGATCAATTATGGTTCATGATGATGACGGATCCTCCAAGTACTTTATCACGATCGACTGTCATTGACATACGTCACGATGTGTTTCCTACAACAGCAACCTATCTGCTTTTGCGCATGGTCCTAAGGCAGACGTGTGCGAATGAAATTGGTAAGACTTGGTAATGGAATTGGTAAGGGTTCAAAAGGGTAAAATGAAATAGGTACGGGAATTATATGTAGATAAAGTCTAGGCGAACAGTAGTCTGATGTGAAACATTAAATAATCTTCTGTAATTTTAACTTTAGTTTTGCACACACTCATAAACAACGTTTCGCCACATCTACTATCTGGAGAAAAAAACTACACAGAGCAACCAAAAGCTTTTCTAGAAAGTTCGAATTTTTTTACCCTACCCCTAGATTGGCAATACAATAGGTTTTACCGGAACCTATAGCGATGTATCCAATCGCGTCCATTCATATCATCGGAGTCATTACATCTATGAAAAAAAGGCCAAGGACCCGACTCAAACCATCAAATGCGACAAGAATCACAAGTCAATAGAAAATTTTACATTTTTTCGGCATTCATTTCAATGACGATTGTCATCGCAGGGTCTCTCTACATCGTTCAGAAAAAGTTGAAACACGAAGAACTTTTTTTGTTCCCACTAAACTGATGCACGATCGTTTCTGCTCTAACCCGGAATGAAAATCGCGTTATAGGTCTATAACGGCGATTTTTGCGTCCTCTCTCTTCTACTATAAAACCCATTTTCCCAGTTAAGCCCAGATGTCAGGCCTGCATCTCAATTGTTTCACGACGCAGTTTCCGACCTAAGACCCTAAGCTTCGTGCAGCCACTGGATCGAGGCAATGAACATTTTTACTTAACAAGTCGATGTTTGTTCAATAGAGTTACTATGACAACAGTGGAATGCGATTGAACACTTTCACCTTCCATTGCAAAATCAAGTTTTTCGCAAACGCAAGGAAAACAGCGAGTTGAATAAAGTTTTGTCCCATAAGGAAAAACCTTCAGTTTTCAAAGTAGGTGTGAAATAATTGCAGCGCTCAATTTCCTATGCACCGGGTGCAGGAGCGTTAATATGTACATTGAGATACAGACTACGACGAAGTGCCACTTTCTGTAGTATTCGATGCTTATTTTTAGAGCGCTATTAATGCGTTCAATCTACGTTCACTCTGGTTTAAAATGTATGGGATGGAGTTGAACAAAACTTAGGCTGCTGAAAGATACTTGAAGAACTTTTTCATTTCTCACCTCGGCACCAGGGATTATTTCCAGATAACTTTGATTAGCTTCTACCCATTATGCAGCAATGGAAACAAAATAATGTTAGAATGGACTATTTGAAATACTTAATCAGTAGGTTCCAAGTACAGTAGAGTGAACCAGCTTGCAAGAATGCCAGGGAAATCGTCTGATTTCCACATCAGTCTCACCCCAGCAAAAATAATTGGTGGCTCTCATGCTGTCAAATTTAAGCATTTTATCTGAAAATGTAGAATGAGAATGAATCATTCACGTTCTTAAGAAAACTATAAATGTGTGGCAGACATTGAGTCTCATGGGCATGGAAAACAAACGACCATTGTCGTAAACCTCCCCCCCCCCCCTACAGCAGCAGAAAGGGCAAAGACAAATGAGATGATTCTGGTGGTGGAGAGGTTCAAAGCTACTGAAGGGAAATTATTCATATTTAGAAGCACCACAGACAAGAAAACAACACTCACATATATTGTAAAAAAAACCCCCCTTTTCGTAACCCCCCCCCCCCCCCCCCCCCCCCTTAGGGAAGGACCACGGTTGGAATCCCTGACCCAAAAACCATTTCATGATATCATGACTGCAGGAATGAAAGTTCACGAGTGAGGCGCATCACTCATCCCCTGAGGCTGGGAACTCAAGTCGTAACTCCACTGACGTAATGGCGATAGATTTCGAGATATTCCCTTGTGCCTTCTTGGAATAATGGCTCAAAGCCAAGACAAAGAGGGTCAGTTCTTTTTACGGCGTAGGGGATCTGTGATCTCGGAAAATTTTATTGCGCATTCCCCAGTATCTGAAAATAATTTACCAACTTCCTGGTCCTGAAGTTGTTTCGATGAGCTGGACAAATGCAAAAAAAAGTGTATTTGTGAAGGTCTCTCATATGTCTTTCTCCTTCCGAGAAGTGTCAGTGGTGAGCCGGATATTCCAGGAAGGGGAATGGAAAAATCCAAGGTGTAGCCTGAGGGTACAGGGTTATGGTCAGCATGAGCCGGGAATACGAAATGATCCCAGTTGTGGGGATTCAAGTGACGTCCTTTCAAGGGCACTAAAGACAGTGGAAATAAGACTGTGTACAGACACCATGCTCGCCCTTTTTCTACTGTTCACAATACTAGTGAGTACTGTGGGTCAGGTGGTGTTTCCGGGAGAGACGTCGCGACCGTCCTTCGTCGCGGAAGGGAGTACGTGTCGAACCCCACCTCCTCAATCATCACCTGGAAGATGCACCACCCATTCGACATGCCCGGAGATCCAGCGTTTGCTCCAACGACGAAGCGACCCGGCCGTGAATCGACTCCTCACGGAACTCAGATGTGGATTCAATGGCAACGTTCCTCTCTTCTGTTGTCCATTGACTACAGGAAACCCACAGGCCGTGCCCCCGACGGTGCCTTCAAGGCCCAGGAACCCACCTGGCGTTAACGCGAGGGAGTATTTGAGGAGCATCTGTGTGGAAGAGGGGATTTTGCAGCTGAAAATCTTCGGGGGTCGGAAAACCCAACCCGGACAGTTTCCCTGGGCCGTCCTCCTCGCTTATCCAAGTCAGGACAATACCCTCATGCATTCATGTCTTCTTTTCTCACCATCCCTTCCTTGCATCTTACTTTTGTCTTCTTGTGATTGTAGGCATGTTCGGCGGGGCGGGGGCCGCGACCTTCGATTGTGGAGGGACCTTAATTTCGAAACGACACGTGCTCACGGCTGCCCATTGTGTCATTGACCGATCTCTTCGGCTCAAAAACATGTAATTGTCTTTGAATACCTTTCAATGTCATGATCGCTGCAGCCCTCAGAATTTCTCATTCTCCAAACCCCAAGAGCATTTGTGCGAGTTGGAGAGCACGACGTGTCGAAGGAGGGAGAATCGGGTCATCGTGACATCCGAGTCCGTCGAGCCATCCCGCATCCGGATTACGTCGGTCCGCCCAATTTCTACAACGATATCGCCATTATCGTTCTCCAGGACGAATTGACCTTCTCCGGTTCGTTCCCTTCTCGCACCTTCTTGTTCTTGTCACGACAATATAAGGCATAATTTCTCGTTTTTTTTTTTTTAGATCACATCGCTCCGATTTGTATGCCGGTCTTGGGAGACAGGGAGCTATTGGATCGGAATGCTCCTCTTAAAGTCATCGGATGGGGAAGCACAGGTCTCTTTTCTTTCTCTCACTCTAGCTACGGATTTTATGTTCATTTTAGTAGTTTACTCAGGATGCATGGCTTGGTTAATAATTACCAGGCTGCTGCCTAATTCAACGTTGTCATGGTAGTATTGAAAAACTATGTAGACGAGGCTGTCGTTTCTTGCTGCATAATTTTCACAGTATTGCCTTTGTTTTTTTCATATTTCCCTTTTCAAAAGGAAAGAGCACACAATTTTGCTTTTGCTGACAAGCAGTGGTGTAGCCAGAATTTCTCCAATTGGATGGCTAATGGACGGGGAGGGGAGGTTTCCTTAACTTCTGGGCGTGGGGATGGGAATGGCGTATGTATTTAGATCCGAATTGTGAGAGTTTGAACCAAATTTGGGGGCTGAAGCAGACCCCTTCCCCCCGTCAGTTTGGGCCCGATAAACATTGGATTATTTTATTATTGATGCATTTTAATCGAGAGAATAACTTCTCTTGATTGGAACCCCAGATATGAAGAGAAGGCATGAGTCTTTCGAGGATTTAAGGAAATTTAATAGCGCGTTTTATCATGGCATTTCATGCCATAAGAAGTACCAGAGATCAGAGACGTGCTAGTTGTGAAGCCCAATGGTAAGTACGAGATGAAACGAAATTAAATAACATGAATACCTTTCCAATAAAATAATAATAATGCATTCCAATCTAAGCATCCCCACTCTTGCTACCTGGAAGATATGAAATTTGCATGTTTAATCCGCCAAGGAGTTTTATTTGGGAAGGTGTAAAAGCAACGACATCTCTTCGCAACTAACAGTTGGTTTTATGTTCGGTGTGCAGAGAAAAGTTCGCGGGGTTCGGAGGTGCTGCTGCAGGCGGATGTTCCCGTCGCAGACGATGCAACCTGTGCCACAGGCTACCAGGAATTCGGGATCGTATTCGACGGAGAGATGCAGTTGTGCGCAGGGGGACAGCAGGGGACGGACACGTGCGCGGGGGATAGTGGGGGCGCAGCTATGTTCCTTCTCTCGGGGCTCCCTCCTCCCGCGACGCCCAAGTTCGTCTTGGGAGGGGTCACGTCCATCGGGAGCACGCAATGCGGCACTGGCCTCCCTGGCCTCTACACCAGGGTGCAACACTACCTTCCCTGGATAACCAACAATATCCAATCCGACCTCTAAGCTTGATCACTATTTTTTTTTCATTGAAATTTGGTAGCAGCGTCTTTCTTTTTATACTGTGCAGTGATTTTTTTAAATGGATTCTTGCCACTTGAAAAAAGGCAGCGTTTTTCCCTGGGGGAGAATTCCTCTCGTGCACTTTGTTGAACTATATTACTTACACGCGAAATGGTGAATTTGACATGAATACATTCGACGATCACTCTTTATAATGGTTATTATATGAAATTTTCTCTTATCTCAGTCCTTTAAAGTAATAATAATAGTTTACTCAAGATTCTGGAACAGGTATGGTTCCTAGGTGGTACTTACTGAACTCATGGATCTAAAGGCCGTTTCACACTTAGCGTGTGACGCGTGCGATTTCGACACACATGCGACTTACGTGTCGACATGCGTCCATATGCATTCGAATGCAAGGGAACACGCGTATACATGGCATGCTCTCACGCATTTGGGTCATTCCACAGATTTAGGGGGAAAATTGTCAAAAATAAAAATCCTAAATTTGATGCCAGTTAAGGAAGGGCAATCCAATAGATCACATTAAAATATAGATTCTGATTAATAAAAGAAAACCTTATTCAAAAAGGTAGTGAATGCGATTCCTTTATACTCGTAAAGGCGTGTGGGCATAAATGTACATGCGTGTTTCCTTGCATTCGAACGCATGTGCCGCATGCGTGTCGAAATCGCACGCGTCACACGCTAAGTGTGCAATGGCCTTTAGCCTGGTAAAAGGTTAGTCCCGCTTCCCAGATCATATATTGCCCCAAGGTTGTGAGTTGACGATACTTGGCACATTGCATGGAACGGAAGGCATTTTGAGAGATGGATTAGTAGTTTAATTCCTATCGTCATCTTGATGTCCCTCGAGCTTAACCGGATTTCTGAAAAGGGAGGACTTCCTTGATCTGGTGTTGGAGAGGGGATAAAAAAGGGGGAAACGAGGTGAATCCCCGATTTTTATCTGAGGTTCAGGGGAAAGGACTCCTTCGCAAGCAGGATCATGAGAAGAGATAAGACTCAAAGGTGAAATTCCGGTTAACATAGGGGAAATTTCCTCCGAGTATAAAAACTATTCGCCTTCCCATTTGTCCTTGTTATCCTCGTGGGACGCGTTGGAACTTCGCTGTTCTCTGTATGGCTCGGTAGCCATCATGACTGAGAGTCGGTCTCGCCCAGTGTCAGTGGTTCGGCTCTATCTCAGAAATGTTCCTCGTGTTGTAATGTGAATTGGTTCCTCTGACGCTAGGCTAAGCTTATCTCAGGGTCTGGGAAGTTTCGACCATTTCGCTCGAAATAGATTAATGTAAAAATGCACTCGAGATAATCCTGAGACTAATGATCAGACCGCCAAGTCGTGAGCTAAGACAGCTTAGAAATAAATTTTGCCGACAGTTTCACGATGTGATTCTCCTGTGCAAGTCGTGCTTTTCTTCTTAGATCACAACATCTATGTTGTGATTAACATATCTAAATTATAGCCTCGGTGCTAATGTTACACCTATAATACGTATTAGGTGAGAATTACATCAGGGTATTCTAGAAAGAAGAGGTGAGTTTGGGGTAAGAGATGCCCTGTAGGTAACAAAAGGTAAACTACGAGTGAAAAGAAAATGCAGGTAAGACAAAGGTGAAAAGAGAAACTGTAAAACTGCGGCAAGCCACAGGTAAAAGAGCGGTAATTGAGGGAGGAGTGGTGAAGTTGGGAAGGTGAAACAGGCAAATAAAAAAAAAAAAACGGGGGGGAAATTCTCCCTTTTAGTTCAACCAAATGATGGGAGTGACGTCCTGCAACAGCTAAAGGTACCAATCGTCCCGCTGGCGAAATGTGCCGCCACTCCCATCTACAAGACGGTTCCGACATCATTTTCGAGCTGTGCTCGATCGTCGAAGGCCTTGTCCCGCAGGTGATTCTTGAGGGCCCGGAACGAGTGAGTCGGAAGGGGCCAAGTCAGGGAAACTATGGGTACTATGGGGTTTTACGTATGGTTTTATGCGGCCCACTATGACTTACTAATAATTTACTTTCTCACACCTAACAGTTTTATTGGCACTGATGAATAACAGCGATTAAAAATTTTTTCATTTCCAGATTTTGAATCCTTCGCTGAAAACTAACAAATTTAGTCGTTGCTTAGATATTTATGTACATGTAATACCTATTTACATTTAGTTGCTTATGTATTTTGGTGTGCACCTACTGCATGCCTAATATTGGGAACCTCCACATACTGCAGAGAAAAAATGTATTTTCGCGCAAGTGAATGAAGTTAAGGCGAAGAAAGAAGTTTTTATCGAAAATACAACTTGTAACAAAGCAGCGCCTAGAATCGATGCGTTTACATGAGCCCCGACTCCAAGTAGTGGCAGTTTCCGTTACTAAGAGAGGTGGAAGTAAGTGTGGATTTGGTAGGAATAAGCAGTTTTCGATTGCTGCTCATTTTTTTAAGTGGGACTTCCCGGTTTAGAGTAACTTGACCACGAAATCGATGGCCTGGTTAACCATGCAGAAATGTTGAATCTTTATCAATGGCTGCCCACTCAGGTTGACTAACGTTACTAGTGCGGCCCACTCAAAGTGGACCAAAGTGTCCATGAGGTCCTCGCCTCAAAAAGTTTGGGTACCACTGGCCTAAATTAACGGCATCTAATTTCATTTTTTTAAATGGCGAAATGGTACACTGGAAGCAAACAAAAAATATAATTTTTGTCACCTCCGCGTCAATATCTTTCATTTGGTAGCGCCCATTACCTTTCTTCAACCCCCTCCCGTAGTAAAATTCAACCTCCTCGTATTACTCTCGGAGAGAATCAACAGGAACTAAATTTGGCATGGGGGGGGGGGGGGGGGGGGGGGGGGGGGGGGGGGGTGAAAAAAAAAATACCGGAACGAAATTCACATCTCCGAAAAGTGAGATTCAGCGATCTCCACAACTCCGGGGAGGTGGAGCTTTAAATTTGCTGGAGCGATTCTGTGTTGAGACAGGAAGAAGTATGCCAAATTTAGTTCCTGTTGATTCTCTCAGAGAGGAATACGAGGAGGTTGAATTTTACTACGGGAGGGGGTTGAAGGAAGGTAATGGGCGCTACCGCGCCTATTGATCCCTGGAGTGTCGATCACTGGCATGATTAGAACTGCAATGCTGGACAATCCAGTTCCCCTACTGCCGACAAAAAATCTCATTCTCGACTACTGCGTCGAAAGTAAATGTGCATGTCAGGCACTTATTAATGTCGCTGCGCAGAAACCAAGTGCGAAGTCTAGAGGCTGCATGGTTTATGCTAAGCGCCTTTGTCGAGCCCCAAGCTTCAACAATTGCGTCGAGAGAAACGAAGGCATAAAAGCTGCAGTGCTCATGACGCACATATGCGTCATCGGCAGCGATCGTGTTAAAAGGAATAAGCCTAAATTTCTCAAGCCTTTTAAGTAGTTACAGTTATTAGGTTCCGAAGTCGGTTCTCCACGTATACAGGGTGTGACAAAAAAGACCGACTTTCAACCAATACATCTCCGCTTCTGCTGGAGCTATTTTAACGAAACTTTCGCAGTGGATGGATATGTATCCCACATGTCAATAAACTTTCCCGAATGAATTCCTCCGAGGCAAAGCTATGAGCAATAATTAAAATGAAGGTAGATACGGAAAATGGACAAGTGCTCGTGCGGGCAGTGGAGCTCTTACATATCGTCCTGGTTTCATTCAACTTCTCCATTGAAATTCATTTTTTTAGGCGGCTTTTTCTAGTAGATAGTTTTGATGAGCTTCGTTCTAATAAGTATTCCCCTATCCAATTTGATTTTCAGATTTCTTTAAAATTGCTCATTGCCTCGCCTTGGCAATTTCAATTTGGACGAAACCTCAAAATTCTGACGTGAACTAAATAACCTATTCACAGTGCAAGTTTTAAACTCTAGTGAGAACCGAGATATGCGTCAAAAGTCTTTGGCCCTTTTATGCCAAAATAATTATAAAGACGAATAAATACAGCTTTTTCAGGCTTCTTGTCACCTTGTGGCGTATTCGAAAATCATTATTTTCGACTCAAGATGCAAGAAAATTTGCTTGGAATGAATCCAGTTCAAAAATTGTCTTTGTGACTGTGTGAAAGTGACTAGCGTCAATCATCTTAGTCATCACTGAAATCAATTACGAAGCTGAAGACGCAGTTCAAACGCAATTCAGTATCAAATGTGATACACTCCACTTGCCACTGCCGCTGCGGAGAGGCCATTTAGTGCAAGAGGAGACATATTCACTCAATAGAGAATTTATTACGCCAGCATAGAGAAGTAGCTCCTATAGGAGCGGACTCACATGAGAGGGCATCGCATGCTCGTAACTCAAGGGAGAGTGCACCTTTGCATGAAAATACAAAACTGTATCACATGATAGTGCTTTCACAGACATGGAAAGGGCACATTGAGCGTCTATAATGCTCCTACTTCAACATATTAGAACGTAAACCTTCCCTGAGATGCATTACGAAGATAAAATGGAATACGACACCTCCGGGTCATTCATCGGAATGCTGTTAGAATTTTTTTCTTGTAATTTATCACAATTGGTGAGAAGGATTTATAGTTTTAGTTGACCACTTATTTCTAGGATGAAATACTTGCAAGGATCAAAGTCTTTCAATGAGCCAAGCGAATAGTCAATCCACAAGACTGCATGTTCTATGCATTCTGTGGATCAGGATTAACATGTATATTTTCCAGATTTTTCTCGCTAGTGATTCGAGGATTCCTAGCTGTTTCCTGGCTGTGAGTTGGTATTTTTTAAGGAGCACCTAGAAGACCATTTTAAACGTCTATTAAGATGGCTCTGTTAGCTCCACGATAAAAAATTTTAATCGATAAGCAGCTGAAATTATGAAGCATTAGTTCATGATGTTTCCTATTTTTTGGAATGTTGCAGGAACAAGTAGGAAATGAACTTGGCCAAAAAGTGCACAGTTTGAGGGGTTAGCGAGGCCAAGGAAAATGATAAATT